CGCAACGCGAGCGGCCAGGGTCGCTTCCCCTTTTTCTCGACCGCCGGAAGTTTCAATGAACGTGAGAGACGGATCCTCATAAATTTGTTGGCCAATGGTTAAAAAACGTCCTGCCTTTGAATCTTCTTTTTCGCGCGTCCCTTTCGTGCCAGCGGGTGCTTTGTTCCTTAAATATCTCCCTTTCGAACGAAAAAAGTCATTGACCGATGGATAAATGATAAGAGAAATAATGAACAGGGAAGAACCAGAGAGAGAGAGAGAGAGAGAGAGAGAGAGAGAGAGAGATTTGGTAACATTATGAACATAATACGAACGACGTACATTGCAATTTTGTTTATAGCATAACTGGCCGATAAAACGCATCCGCGCCGATATATGATATCCAAGATCACTGATATTATCGCTTATCAATTTCTCGGATTCGTGCTAAAGTACGTGCTTAAGGCCATGTATGTGAACCTTTAGCTTTCAAGGAATTTCGATACTTCGTTAATCGAATTGATACGTATAAAAAAAAAAACGCGCACATGTACGTACGTACGTACGTACACACACACACACACACACACACACATTTAAACGAAGTATCTTCTTCGTTATCTGAGAAATTTCTTCGTACAGCAAACAACTAACTAATCATAGGAAGTACTATTACATGCAAAAATAAATTCTTATTTACAAAGGATCGTGAGAATCGTCTCGACCTAAGGTTTTTCTTTCTTTTTCTATCTCGTTCGTTTTCTCTAAGAAGGATGAACGGCCTTACCAACGATTTAACGAGTCATGTCCTTCCTGCATACATTTTTTGCGAACACGGCATTTGTATTCGAATGTGGTAATAGTTGTAGTAGTAGTAATAGTAGTAGTGGTACTAGTACTAGTATTCTCTCATAGTAGTGGTAATATAGTGGTAGTAGTAATACCCATCGATGCCGACGAGCTCGAGAAGAACGGCTCGTACACCTGTTCGATCGATCGTATAGAAGAAAAGGAAGGCGAAAGGTAGGTTCGAACGTTCAGAAGAAGAGTATTAATCGAAGTCATCATCGATCGAAGACTCGCGTTCAAAGCGTATTCACGCTTTGAAATCTCGATCGTTCGCCACCTACGTCATGCATGTCGAGTTGGATGCATTTAGCATCAGATTTTTCTGTACGTTCTTGCAACGCTAGATAAAATAAATCGTTTATAAAAGGATATCTTTTATATAGAAAATAAAAAACATAAAAATATAAGAATATGATTGATCCTAAATATATCAAATAATTTACGTGTATCGTTTGTCATTCTCTCTTTTTCTCTCTCACATCAAAAGTATTGAAATGAAAAATTGCAACGTTCGGTGATATTGCTTTCATGGTAACTCGTATATTAAAATCTCATAAAGATCATCGTGCAAACGTTTACATATTCGAGACAAAAGGAGAGAAAAAAATAAGAGAGAGGGGGAAAAGAGAAGATAAAACGATAGGAGAATCGTTCGTTAAAAAGTGTTAAACGCATTAGACGTCGTCATAATTTTCGTTTGTAATCGATAGCAAACCACACCCACACGCGTCCTGGTGCAATATGTTAAGGAGCGACGAACGCTCGATAAATGCATCTCTGGACGTCTCTGACGTATGAACTTCGTAATGGTTAATTATGGAAATGTCTTCGTTCCTTATTGAGCGACTTCCGGGACACGAATTGCAATGTGATCCCAAATTGATACCTACGCGTTATCGTATTCTACGTTATATATGTAAGTACCTACGCTTTTATTCTAGAAGGTTCGGATAGTGAGACGCTTTTTCTTCAAGATCGTTAACTTCGAATATGACAAGACACGCTTCTCTCTTTTACCCTATCATTAAGTCTTTTCTATTCAATGTATGTATATTCGCGTCTGCTCCTCTTATGTTATTTAAATGATAAGCGTTCTATAATAATCATAGAACAAAATTATATCAAAAAAATATTATTCGTAAATATTATTTTTTTTACCATATATTTTTTTCTCTCATATGATATTCTGAATCGATGTTTATATATGTTCTCTACGAACTTTATGCTAACAAAAAGAGTGAGAAAAGAAAAATAAGGAAATTCAACAAGAGCCGAAGGGAGTTAACGACGCAGTTTTGAATCGACATTCGTTGTCGCTTCTTTTAAATCATTATTCGCAGCTCGTCGAGCGCTCTTCGTAACATAGTCCGGTCACGTTCGACTCGTAACTCGGTATAACGAAACGTAACACACAAACCAAATCCTACTGAGCAAAACGACGATGTATGTACACACACACACACATACATACATATGCATACATATGCATACATGTATATTGCCTGATTCTTCCGTTTATTCTACGCCGTAATTTTTATTTCTCAACTAACGCGCACAACACAGCTAATATCGAGAGACTTTTTATCGAAAGGCAAACTGTTTGTATGTGTGTGTGTGTGTGTGTATGTATCTATCTGTCTCTTGTGCGCGTGAGATTTGATATAACGTGAAA